CTAACACATTTAAACTTAACAATGTAGCTTTATGCATGTCTAAATGTCTAGTAGATGCAATCTCATCTATGAATTTTTGTGTGGATGCATCCCACCTTACGAATGGCCCAACCACAATGTTCTTATTGTGTTAAAAATATAATATCATTTTTTATACCCTGACCCAACTTGGTCATAAGTAGCTTAATTGCTTAGGTATTTCACCATAATTTCTTATATACAAGAAAACATATTACATGCTAGTTCACATATCACATGAATGCTATTCTGACTCAGAATCATCAACTTGCATTTTTAAGTGGAAATTGCAACTAGCATATCTTTATCACGCATTTCACAGGCAATTAATTCACAAGAGAATCTCATAAGAATATGGAAAAGGCAGCAGTTACCACAACCATTCCAAAAGATAATTTAGCAGTAAATGTCAACCTTCCTTTGCATGTTTCTAAATTCTTGTGCAAAGGTAAAATATTGAAATCTATACTTAAATTTCTTCTTAAGTCTTCAAAAATTTAGTCTAGCTTAAATTTGTTAAACTTAAAAGTTACTTACCTCAAGTGAAACAAGGTCTGACCCACGACTCCTCCAAAAACCTTTCAATTTTGCTGCTGCCTTTGCTACAAAGCCATAACTCCTTTATTTCTGTGCCATAATAAAAAAAAATAGAATTGTTTTTTTGTCATTTACCATCTCAAAGCATAATAAATTCAAATCAAAGTTAGTAGAATTGTAATGCATTTCACTTCAAAACTACACTGCACTTTCTCACTTGGCAAACACATGACAAGTGCATGTTTACCTATCACTAGCCAAACTAAGCCATTTGTTAAGTGAACATCATTAAGAAATCAGTCCTTGAGCTTCTCTTAGCAAAACAAGACCACAACTATTTAAGGGCTAAACTTCTAATATTTTTTTTCTAAAGGATAAGGATGTTTCAATTAGAAACCAAAAAAAAATCACAACCTTATAATTTTCAATACATGCAGTACATCCATTTCAAAAATTGTTTAACTAATAACATATGTAAATTGAATTAATTAGAAACATACCAAAATTTAAATAATCTCCATATAAAACAAGCTTCTTAAACCGTCATTAAAAATAAAGTCACAAACTATTATTAAAAATAAGCAATAAAGCTTGGCGAAAATGGTTATTTAGTGAGTGTAGTTACTTTAAAATAGTTTTTATTGAAATGTAGTAAAGAGAGTACTTGTTGAAGGAGTCAAAAAATTGATCACATTTTCAATTTCTACAATGGTTAGTTCATTGATGATGTTGTTTGGGTCAGACCAACAAAGGCAAGGTCATGTCATGGTGTGATTGATCAACAAAGGCTAGACTATAAACACTAGGATCGTGAAGCAATTGATCAACCCCACCAAGTGTTTTCAACCAATGGGAAACTACTACTTTTCATCTAAAAAATGGTTTTGATACCTTTTGCCTTCTAGAAGCAGCTTGAGACATTTTCTTCCAAACGTATAGGCCAAAATATATCATCTTTCTTCAATTCATTCTGGCTCTTAGATGTTTCAGATAATTAACTATTAATACGTTTCAAAATTTACCATTGTTTAGAACGAAACTGAATCCCAACTTCACTAGTCTCATTGCCAATAACTAATTTTCTCTTTTTTGGTCTTTTAATAGCAATGCCACTCTCATTTGATGTTTTAACATCAGAAGCATCATTTTAATGTTGTCTAGTTGAGCTAGTTCCGAAGTGTCAGATTCAGTAATCTTAAGCATTCTTCTAAGGCTGCTAGTGCCATACATTTAATCCTTTGTAAGACATTTAATCCTTTCTCAACTTTTCTTAAGCTCTCCCCTAAGGTCAATATAATAAACTTTTAAAAATTTCAGTCACAAACATACCAAAGTGTAATTTTCCTCTATTTTTTCTTGGAACTTTTGTCATTTTTTGAATGATGATCATTGGCAAGTTGATTTCTTTTCCATTAACCATGGCCCCCAACAAAAACAAGTCTCCTCTTGTCACCACCTGCCAACTCCCATCTTTTCCAAACAAGGTTGTTGCAATAAAGTGGTAACAGCATCCTTAACTCTACATTTTTTAAATAGTTAACTCTTGCATGATATGAAAAATTTTTATCCCTACCACTAGAAGACTTTTAAATCTCACCAAAGTTCATGGTTTTAGGGTGGCGAGAGACATACCAATAGGAGGTATGCCAAGTATTTCACCTAAACCAATTGGGGATATTATCATCTATATTTCTTTGACCCTAGCATATAGATTCGTTGTATTTTCAAGGTAATCTCCTCTAAACTCATATCGACTCTATGGTAAACTAGCATAAAATTCAGCCACTATACTTGGATAAAATGAAACATTCCTTGTACCTTCCCCAAAGTTTTCTTCTTTAAATGCATATCAATTAAAACATCTTCCAATGGCACAACCTCTATTAAATAATAAGTTACACCTTTCCATGTGTAGCACATTACGTAGATCATGAAGTTCATCATCATTTTTTAAAGTTTGTCTTACAGCAACTGGTCTAATTATAAAAGCTGGTGGAAGCACTCCCTCTTCCTCTTACACTTCATGCGCTAGGTGTTCTAGCCATGGCTTATAATATTTTAGAGAAAGTCTTTACAAATACAAATTAAACTAGTACATTAAGAGCTCATGCTAGGTAAAAAAAAAAAAATGACCACCCACATTTTTGGCATATGAATCAAATGCTAAATATCCATAATTGAAGGGCAATCATGTTTCTATGCATTATTTAAAAGAGAAAAAAAAAAAAAAACTAAGTTACTATTCAAACAAGATGGAAGCTAATCCCCCTTTTCAACCATGTCCTCATCTTTTCCTTTTATCCTATGTAGTGTAGTCCATTGATTTCAGTTATTAATATATAATCTCTATATGAAGTATCATTCTCACAACTTAAACCAGAGTTCAAAATACAAAAAAATTTGTATGCTAAAGTATTAAATATAAAAGAATGTAATAAAGTCTATAATGCAAAATAAAGAAGAAGTTGGTAACAAAGTCTATAATGTTTCACAAAAAAAAGTCTATTATGTTCACACATAGAATACAAGAGAATGTATTATTTTGTTTTCTAAAATAAACATGCAAAGGAATCAAATATAAACTAAACTAAACTAAAGGGACATCTGCTGGATACCATTAAATAATAATAGAATGCAATTGGACCACTTTACAAATGAGGACAAGGGGTCATGCCAAAAAGGTTCAATCTTTTCAAAGAACAAAATATGGAGCACAGAAACCTTTTCTCCTCAAAGGACTATGCGAAAACCTCATAAATTCCAAATTGGTGAAGAAAAGCATGCCAAAAGAGAACAAATTGATGATCCTTTTCTCTCATAAAATCATTTGTACGTTAATAGGACTCTTAATAGGAACCTACATAGAAAATAGAGAACAAACTAGGAAGTGCAGAGAAATTCTTAATTAGAATGATTTATATAGAAAAATTAAGAAAAACATGAACCTTTTTGGCATAATAGGGAACGTAGATACTTTTTCTTCTCCAAGGCCTGTGCTCTAACTATAATTAAGAATTGAATTGTTCTAGAATCCAACCTCTTCTCCTCAAGTCTATGATCAATTTTGGTTTAGGGTTTTTTGTGGTTGTAACATTGAAAGCCCTTTTCAATAATCCATTGCTTAAGCATGTAGTTGATTGCTTTATTTAAAATATATTCGATTATTTGGATTTTATTTAAGGGCATGACAATTTTCATTTTAAACTTTGCACTGCTTTTTTTTTTTTTTTAAGTAACCAAACACACGATTTTAAGAATATCAAACATAACTTAACAAACCACCAAACACAAAAAAAAGTTAACTTTTTCAAGTACGAATATCTGATCAAAATATTTTCTAGGAAACTTTTTTTACTGGGTAAAAGATGCACAAAGCAACCAAACAGTTTATCCTAACATAGCAATTAGGTGGGATTCAAGGTGGGATTCAACTTACTTAATATTGGATACTACCTTAAAGTTTAAAAAAGCTTCTGACAGATTGAAAGATGAGGATTCCTCATTTGCTAGCAAACTTTTGTATGAGACCCATAATTTTGTTGATTGGGAAATTGTTAGGACCA